TCGATAGTTAGGGGAAAACGCGAAAGAAGGCCTCGGATGGACTTCACACAACCATGGATAATGACAAATAATCTATGTATCGCAGCACAGCCTGGAAACTCTCATATCACATTTAACACATAGGAAAAGAGTTTAGCATTTAATTAAAAAAAATCAAAAATATAAAACATTATAAAATATTTCGCTTGTTATTTTTAAGACTAAGTTTTGTTTTATTTTCAAATGGAAGGCATATCTGATGTTATTTGCTCACAAAATTCAACTTTCAATGTTGGATAAAATAAAATTCAGCAGAAAAGAGTTTCAATTAAAACAAAATGCCTGGCGCTTTTTTCATGGACGTCAAATGATACTGTAGAGTCAATAGGTTATTTTGAAGCAAGAGATGGGAATAATGAGCAATGCCTTTTCCGGAACTCCAACCTGGACCTGTCGAATACGTGTCAAGGGTGCTACCCTTACACCACGAAGGCATGCTGAGAGGAGGAGAAAATACCCTACAGTACAAGCAGAAGGATATGAAGATGAGGAAAACATATATTACAAGCTGGACAAAATTTTATAGAAAGGTAATTTATGCAAGCTTGCAAACTATACGTTACAACAAAAATTAATAATCATTTGAATTTATAAAATTAGGCAAACAACCTTGTCTTTGGCGTAAATTTAATTGAGATTCTATCGATTCTTCTATCGTCTGAAGTAAAATAGTTCTGCCGAGAAGGGAATATTTCATAACCCTATGGCTGGTGAATAACCATGTTTTTGCTCCTGGCAAAGAGGAGAGTGTACCAGTTACAGTTTCAGTTAAACATATACCAAACACAAGGCTGTTCTTTTGCCTAATTGTATATTTTACTTTGGTATGTTTCTCTTCTTATTTTGTATGAAGAAGACAATGTGCACAGGTAGGGGAAAGTTTGCAGTCTCCCTAAAGTATTAAAAACCAACATCTTACATTACACAGTACGCTAGAAAAAGGTAGAGCATTTTGCAAAATATTTCTATGAATTGCAAAAAACATAATGTTTACAATATAAATTTTGCTCCGCTGATGGATGAAGAACTTTTATAATATCGAAAAGACACAATTAATATTTGAAAAAGTATGAATGGCAGTAACATAACGGCCAGCATTTTGCATCGAACAGAAAGCAGTGACTTTTTTTTTTTTTTTTTTTTTTTTTTTTTGGGTGTGTGTGTGTGTGTGTGTGTGCGTGTTAAAATATCAAGCGCTATTATTTGGTAACATAAGATTTCTTGGGAATCTTTTCTCAAAGAATATATCAGCATGAAATAATACTTGCATAAAATACTAATTTCCAACTCTAAATATAAATCACAGTCGCTTCATATTCGTATGAAAAAATAACGAATTTATATAAACGAATATTATACGAAAAGAAAATAAAAAGGCATATTTGTGCTCAGGTATTTTTCCTGTGAAAACTTAGTTAAGTTCAAAAAGGCTGTTCAAAATGTGTTCCAAGAAATCACTCATCTTCTCGCATATTTTCATAAATTTAGTTACGGTTTAAAAATATTATATAAAAACAACAAATCAGCATATCAGGATGTGGTTTCCACTGAGAGATTTATAGTAGACGAGGATTTCGTTTTGGAAAAAATGTTTTAGCTGAAAGTTTTGCCAAATGATTTCGCTGTTAGTACAGCAATATAAGGATAGAATGAGGTAATTAAGATTATACAGTATTTATTCGTCTGCAGTTACAAGCATATTGCAATAAGATTAATAATATAACTACCGGTTATGAGCTCTCAGCTGCACATCATTTTTTAAAGAATTTCCACTATTTAATGATAATAGCAGTACATTCGTCAGCGAAAATTTGAACTGAAATTATATTTCCTTTTCCCCCTCCCGAAAATAAGGCCTTCTTTTATGCCAAGTGGGTCACTTTTTGTTTGTTTTTTAAAGTGTCCAAATTGATGGGTACTTTATATTTTCCTGCAGATCTAAAACTATTATTATTTAATGAAATTTTAATTAAGATTTAATCTGACTAAAACTGACAAATTTAATATTCTAAAAGCTTCATGTATTTATTTTGTTACAAAGGTTTGTTACAAATTGGCAAAACGTTTAGTAGAAATGCAAATTAATGCAGTAAATGTCAGACATTTTTTAATTCGCGAAATATGTTTTAGTATATTTTATTTTGTTTTTCTATAATCCCAACGACTAAAGTAAAATTCAGACTAAGAGTATTTATTAAAATTCCCTACATCATGGCAACAAGAGAAACGAGATTTTAATCAAGATAAATTACACTCACTTGACTGAGGTCATTCGATGCAGGTCGCTCTGTTGTTAAATATTTCTTTCGTCTCCTTTTCCCCAAGTGCATTTGTAGAGGTTTAATCGATTAAAATGAGTTTTTAGCCCATAATTAAATATTTTCAAATGAGATGAACACAAGAGAAGTAAATTAGCCTATTTGTCTCTTAAATGAGTGAATAACCGATAAAATGTCTACCTACAGAATACGTTCATTGTATAAATTCTTTGCCACGGACCACACAAGTTGGTGCGGTTCCCGCTAATCACCGTTTTCAAGCTGTGTGAGACGGCATGGTCTGACATCGCAGAAGCAATAAATCGTTCCAAATGAGAGCACAAAAGACATAACTTCACGACCAGTGTTAAGAGGAACAGCACGCCAGAATGCTCTGGAGCTCTCGACTAGAATTACCTACCGTTAGCAAGATTCTGACATAACAAGGACGGTAATTTTACCTATATTCATTTTTCTATGTTTCCTGTGTTATTATATGTTGTTTATAAGCTTCTCATAAATTAGTAATAAATATATTTTGCGATAAGCAGTAAGTAATACGCGACCTCAAGAATGTTCTAAGCAAAATAGCAACTTAGTTACTAATTCTTACACGAAGTCTTCAGCGCAACCTGCCGCCGGTTATCACACCTCCATGAGTTTCAGTAGATAACCACGGGTGTACGTTTTGGTTTTTTAATCGAATTTATGAGATAAATTTCCGCCATGATAAAAGCATACGTCCGAATAATGCCTCGCTGCAAAACCAAAAACCGGATTCTTATTGAGTAAGTCTATTAAATAACATTTCAGAACCGGTGAAAAATCATGTAAAGCAACCTCGTCTTTTTAAACTACGTCTAAGCTTTTAAAGCTGACCTGTTGTCCAAAGATTACTGGGACGGAAAGAATTTCTGAAGCGGAAAGGAACTGGAGTTGCCAGATGAGTTCCGCCGTCCAAAATGACAGGAATATAAAATTTCTAACTGCGGAACCAAAGCTGCCCAAAGAATATAGAGGCAAAGGTGAACATTTCTACGCGACAATTCTAGGGAACACCTCCCGTCTGACAGAAAGAGGAACAGCGTAGTCTGCTGGCCTAAGGCAAACCACCTCTCTTTCCTTTTATTCTTTTTATATTCTCCATGAATAATAATGGAAAATTTCCACTCTACCTTTGTTCCGAGGAAAACGCAAGATCTCGACCACCGCTTAATTGCTGGCTCATTTAAAAGATTAAAAGTTTGTCCTAGCCAATAACTTAATTTTAGAACCCTCTAGAAAAAATAAGAAACAAAGCAAGCAAATGCTAGCAACCTCCTTTAAAAGGAAATTTAACCTTAATGCTAAACCTACCCAAGTCTTTCATTTGATTCCAAACTAAACATTTTATGCCAGATTTTATGATTGTCCCATACACATGCAGACTTGTGAAAAACCTCACTTTTACGCAAAGAGAAATAGCCAACTCGTTAAATTTAATTGATTGGAAAAGGCGAAAAACCATTTAACCTGATCCTTTTCTAACGCGGTTAGAGTTAAGACTTATTCAGTTTGATTAATGTCTTTGATAAAGTTGATAAAAAGCATTTTGCTAAGCTTTTACAGCATAAATGACTTTCCTTGTCTTTTCTCTTTTCCGTCTATAAATTCTTCAATTCCAATAAGACAAAACTGGGATTAAAAATGTTAAATATTTCAATAAATAGATTCCTAATTTAAATTCTTTAAGAAAATCTGAAAGATTTCAGATTTTATATTACGCCCAAGTGGTGTTTAAAGTTTTGTGTGTTATTTATTGAATATCATATTCTTCGCACTTAAGCCATAAAATTCAATTCAACAGCAATATCACAAAAAAATTATACAGAGTATATATACAGAGTGTACGTAAAAGAATGTCCGAGTTTCAAATTGTCATAGTATCAGCTGTAATCGTTCGACAGTTGTGGTTGAAGGTGACGAGTAAAGAATAACTCCAAGAGTTTCAGATAAGCGCATGCGCTTGTACCGCTACATCGTTTTAACAGTTGCAACGTCATCTATTCAAAATGGCGACTTCTGAGCATAAAGCGTTTTGTGTTCTACAATTTGCTAAGAGTGATTTGGTAATTGCCGTTCAACATGCGTTCCGATTAAAGTTTAAATGTGATCCATCATGTGACAGAAATATCCACCGATGGTATTGACAATTCGAAACGACCGGATGTCTTTGTAAAGGTTTGTAAAGGTGGGAAAACCCAAAGTTTCTGTAAAGAATGTGGAACGTGTTGAAGAAACTTTCCGTCGTAGTCCGCATAAATCTGTTCGGAAAGCAAGTCATGAACTACAGTTGCCAAAGACGACAGTCTGGACGATTTTTAGCAAAAAAATTACATTTGCGTCCAGATCGATTACAGTTGGTACAGCAATTAAAGCAAAATGATTGTGCAGTACGATTTCGTTTTGCATGTGAAGTTCTTCAACGGCACAATGACTTTCTGCATCTTGTGGTGTTCAGTGATGAGTCGACGTTTCATACAAATGGGAAGGTAAATACCCATAATGTTCGTATATGGGGTTCAGAAAATCCTCATCAACTTGTACAACACGAAAGAGATTCTCCAAAAATAAACGTTTTCTGTGCTGTTTCACGACGACAAGTGTATGGACCATTTTTTTTTTTCCGCTGAAGCTACAGTAACAGGGGTTTCTTATCTGGATATGCTACAACAATGGCTCTTTCCCCAATTAGTAGAAAGTGAACCTGCAAACTTTATTTGGCAACAAGATGGAGCCCCTCCTCATTGGAGTCTCTTTGTGCGAGATTGGTTGTTAAACGTCGAAGTCCCTGACCGTTGGATTGGGCGTCACGGTCCAGACGACAGAGTTCTGTTACCCTGGCCGCCTCGTTCACCTGACATCACGCCTTGTGATTTCTTCCTTTGGGGCTTCGTAAAAGATCGGGTCTACGTTCCACCCCTACCCCACGATTTACCAACCTTGAAAGGTAGAATTGCACAGGCTGTTGCTTCCATTACTCCGGACTTGCTGCCGACAGTATGGGAAGAATTGCATTTTCGTTTGGATGTGTGCCGTATCATTAAAGGCGCACACATTGAGCACTTAAAGGAAAAAATAGGTTAGTTTTCCTTCAATTTGATGTTTGATTTGTTATATTTAGTATAAAATAATCTCCTGTAGTATACCATTAAAACTCGGACATTCTTTTACGGACACATATATATATATATATATATATTGGTAGTATTGCCATGGCTGGCTTTGAAATCATTGAGTTTCTTAATCAAAAATTCATAAATGCTTGACTCATTTTTCACGTCCCAGCATAAAAAAAAAAAAAAAAAAAAAAAAAAAAAAAAAAAAAAAAAAAACCTAATGACTCTATAACTTTAGTGTGCTTTAATGCTTCTTTTTAACAAAGCATTTCAGAAAAAAAAAAAAAAAAAAAAAGATGACTCAAGGCTTAGAATGCAGTAATAATGTTAAGAATTATTACGTAACATTTAGTGTAATTAATCTCTCTCTGAAAAGCGCCACTAACGTGTGCAGCAAGAACGTTTTACGCTTAAGATCTATTCGAATACTATTATTTGCATAAAAATTTACCAGAAACATTTTAATGAATATTTGATCAACTGTAATTTTTACCGTTTAAAATGGGAGTTATCATTTATCACAACGCTTCTATGCATAGCATTGAAATTATTTTCGATAAAATTTCTACTTTATATTAATGGTACATATTGCGCAATTGCTTAAAATCAATATTAAGGAATAAAACATGTATTTCGAAACCATAAATTCTTATATTATCGCAAAGATTATTATTTAATTTTAATGCGAAATCAAATTTAATTTTTATATACACTATGAATAAAATATCGGATTTATTACTGATAAATCGACGAGATATTTGAAAGCCAAATGTGTGTATTGTTAATAAATTTTAATACACTGACTACCAATAAGTATTTGGAAACCTATGCAAATGACGATATCTGCGGTCCTAAGGTACGTCACGGACTGCGCCGTTATATATCGTGTAGGAAACAGCATCGCCTTTAGTCGCATGCAAGATGCCTCGCAGTTCGGAGCTCTCTGATTTTGAGAAAGGTATAATTATCGGGTATCACAAATGTGGCCGATCCTTAAGGGACATATCTAGCGATCTGAAGTACCCAAATCGACAGTGGCCTATGTGATTAAGAAGCGGAAGGTGAGCGGTGTCGGAATGTGCACCGAGTCGGCAGACCAACGAAACTGGGAGATAGAGACCGACGAGTGCTGTCCAGAGAAATCCGGAAGAACAGCACCCAACCGATGGCTCTCATCCGCGAGGAGTTTCAACAGGCATCCGGGAGTATTGTTTCAATGAATACCATCCGTAAGAAAGCACATCTGCTTGGTTTTTATGGTCGTGCTGCTGCCCATAAGCCTTTGATCACAAAGTCCAACCGCGCTGCTCGATTAATGTGGTGCAAAGCACATCGAAATTGGACCGTAGATCAGTGGAAACCGGTTCTTTGGAGTGACGAATCAAGGTTCACCCTTTACCGTTCGGATGGCAGGGTCTGGGTCTGGCGTCTACCTGGAGAACGTCTCCTGCCAGAATGCATTGTGCCAACAGTCAAGTTCGGCGGAGGTGGAATTATGGTCTGGGGGTGTTTCTCCTGGTATGGGCTGGAACAGTTGGTCCCCATTCATGGTAAGCTCTACTCCGATGCCTACTGCACTATTTTGGATGACAATGTGCTTCCTACGTTGTGGCAGTTTTACGGTTTGGACCCCTGTTACTTTCTGGACGACAATGCCAGTTGTCATGTTTCGACGTTAACCAAGGCTAGGTATGGTGCCAATGGAGTTTATCGAATGGACTGGCCTGCCCAGAGTCCAGACCTGAACCCTATCGAGAACCTCTGGGACGAGTTGCATCGCCGAATTCAGGGGTGCACTACCCGTGCAAAACCGGAGAAAGAACTTCTATGTCTTCTTCAATCCGAGTGGAAGAAAATACCAGTAGCTGTCATATAAAGACTTGTGGAAAGTATGCCCCGGAGGGTCCACGCTGTAATTACCTATCGTGGAGGCTCTACCAACTATTGATTTTGAATAAAGTTAGTTTTTCTTTTCTATCACAGGTGTCCAAATACTTATTGGTAGTCAGTGTATATCGCATTTAAAATTTCCTTACTAAGCACAGACTTAATGTCTTATTATTAGACTTAATGTATATTTAAATGTTTAAAATTTCTCGACAAACTCTTCAGATTAGCTTACTACGAAATGATATCATAAAGGCTTTCATTTTCTCAGAGGTGTTTGTTATTCAATCACTCATTGTGGTGCACCTTAGGCAACACTCTCGATGAGGACACGAGTAAATGGCCGATAGGTATTGAATATTCCTGACGAATATGTTACGCCAATCATTTGAGAAAAATTGACGGAAGGCTGCTTCATTTGTTCCAAACGGTCGTTGGGTTTAGATGCCTAAGACTAATTCCTAAGATTTTTAAATGTTGAGTACACAACTGATCAGTTTTTTTTTTTTTTTTTTTTTTTTTTTTTTTTTTTTTTTTTTTTATTTGACAGACACCTTTCAAAAATCTATCCTATGTAATCTAGTAAAGTTAAACTCAAAATTGGCAGTTCATTATTGGCAACAGTAGAAGAAATCGTAGCACCCTGATTTATTTGAAAACTAATTTCAGTCAATTTTAATTTCTTATTTTCATAATACAGCTTACCGCGTTCTTTCTTTCTTACAAGTAAAAGTTCTTTACTATCTTCTTTCAATAAATATTTCTTCATGTTTCTTTTTCTGTAACATCAGTGCATCTTTGTTTCAGCAATTTATAGTTATTTTTATATAGATTAAATCATTACGTTGCTCATACAACCGCTGGCCATCGACTTAATATAGTTGAAGGTGAGCGGATAAGTACGGAACTAAACACTGTCATAACCAAACTCGTGCGCGTGCACTTGTGACGTCATGCAAATACTGTGTATTTTCGGCCTAAATTTCAGACTCTACTGTGATTGAACCACAATTACAATTTTCAATTTCTTTTTCCTGTTTTGTAGCCGTCTTCTTTAACTATTAATTGAGCCATAAACTAAAATTATAGTTTTGGGGGTTATTAAGACATAAACGCTCTACTGAGACGTGTTTTACACCTTAAAATGATTTTATTAATTGAGGAACGTAGTCCTAAGTTTATCATTTGGAAATCAAAACGAGCTGTGGTCGAGGCTTTTGTCTCATTTGAAAATGCAGCAAGAAATATGGGCCTAATAATTAATGAAGACAAAACAAAATGTATGATTGCATCTAATAAAACAGTTGATTTATCCCCTTGAAGATAAACAGTTATACGTTTGAAACCGTAAAACAATTTAAATATCTGGGCACATTGATCAAAAGTTGTAATAATACAAAAATCGAAATAAAGAATAGAATATTTATGGCTAATAGATGTTACTACAGCCTTAAAAAACAACTAAAATCCAAGCTAATAAGCATAAAAATTAAATTAAATTTATATAAAACTTTAATAAGACCTGTTGCCATTTACAGAAGTGAACGTTGGATATTTAACAGAGCAAAGAAAGACCTGATTTCTATTTTTGAAAGAAAAATCCTAAGAAACATCTTTGGACAAGCACAACAAAATGGTATGTGGAGGATTCTCTATAATCGTGAACTGAATCATGGAAAATATTGGAAATATGGCGAAAATGATATTGTGAAAATCATAAAGGCATCGTATCAGATGGGTGGGTATCATAATTGTATCAGATGGCAGATAGTGGGCTATGTGTTTAGATACGATGATGCATTTCCAACCAAAAAGATAAATCTTTTCGAGAATTGAGGAAGTAAGACGAAACGAAGACCACCCACTGGATGGATAGATGATGTCGAGCAAGATTTAAGGCTAATTCGAGTTAACCGATGGGAGGCTTATTGCGACGAATGGGCTCAGGTGGAGGAAATTTGGAGAGACAGCCTTGACCTGTAACAGGCTGTGGAACTTATGAAGAAGAAGAAGACCTAAGTTAAAATAACTTATCATAAAGTCAGTAATACTTCAGATGTACTATTATTATTAATTCTTTTATTCGCGTAATATCTTCTAAGCTGCAATTTAGGTTTAGTTCAAAGAGTAATGAAATTGTGTTATTAAAATTATTGTCATTAGCACTCATTTAGCTATTTATTTATATACTTTCCCATGTGGAATTACACATTTCCATCCCGTTTCCACCGTTTCCAACTGTAAATAGTTGCTTTACATTGCAGACATGCCGTCGCATTCTGAAACAGAGCTTAAATAACACACAGCTTTTTATATGGCTGCTCTCATTTAAAAACAAATATGGTTTTACGAAGTAAAAACTTTACTGAAGCGGAAATAATATTAGTGTTTTAAATACCATTAGTGTAAGCCTAAATTGTAAATGTTAAGATAAAAGGTATTTCTCACAATTCAGTTTTAATAGCTTCTTCCCTCTTCCCTAAACATCCGTGAAATCGTTTCTCGGAATTGCAAGTGACATTTCTCTTAGCAACAGAATATATTTTCGTCCCTTAAAGTGAAAGATAACTTAATTGGAACCGTTGCTATGGTAACAGAAATCGAAGCTTCGATGATTGTAATTGAATTCTAGTGAAATGTATATGGCAATTTTGACACATACTCTGATGGTTAATACTTCCAAATTTTGCATATACTAATATAATAGCTATAATTCTCACAGATGTAGGAAGCTGAAATCATTATTAGTATTCCGAGATAAGTGGTAAAGGCAATTTAACTGGTACTCGAAATGAAAAGGAAATCTTTCGAATTTCTATGAATCACAGTTGGAATACATTTTATTTATTTAAGTTATAACAGTGTAACATATCACAATCTATTTACATATATAAAAATTGAACAATGAAATGGAAAAACTCAGAGAATATTGCATTCTAAATTGAAAATCAGAATATGCACATCTTGTCCCGAAAGATTTAATGTATTATTAACACCAGCGGAATATGGAATTTGAATATTCTGAAGCATTCGAGACACTGGCTTCAAATATTGAAAATTTGTTTTTTAGCCCAACGGACG